AGTTACAAGATTGTATAGAATTTTCCACAACAATTCTGCAGCAGACTGTACTTCACTTGTACTACATCATCCATGACAGCCTTGCAAATCCCTCAGTTGGGCATTGTTGACAGGAATCAGTAAACCCTGAAACCCAAGAAAGTCTGCACATTAAGGAGCTATCATGCAGCATTTATCTATAAAAGCAATATAAAACATGGCATGGGTAGTTTTAAAATTCTGTTTCCGAAAGCTACTAGAAAACTCAATCCATACACGCCTTTTATCCTCCCTATCTATACAACAATGCTCAAAATTATGACTGCCGCTTTTGTGGAATAATTGTCTGATTCTGAACTCGGGTGATGAAACTGAATTGGGTATAAGACTTCAACTAGAGAGTTGGATCCAGTCACCATCTCCCAGGCTAACCTGCCTCCAAGAGACTTTGTAAGGATAAAATTAAATGCTATCATAAGTGCCTCACCCGGGGGGGGGGGCGACACATCACACTACCTTCTCAGCAGGTGGGTCACTGTCCCTTACTAGGAAGGAGAGGGAGGTGACAGGGAGGTCAGAAAGGTGCAAGTGCGCCGGCAGGAGTGGCGAATTGGCTATGCCAGCGCATTTGCACTACACTGACCTACCTGTTGCCTTGACTCAGCAAGCCACTGCTAAATGTTATTATGTACACCACTCTGCATGAGCTCTTTCGAGGAAAGGTGGGGTCAAAATAGTATAAGCAAATGAGCCATCAAAAAGAAGAGCAATCTTGTTTTCTGCTTGCTTCAAGACATGGATGAGATGTCACAAAATCAGGACCGCAAGGACTAAAGCAACTTCAAAAAGGAGTCCCACCTGAGTGCCCAGGAAATGCTTGCTGCTCTTTCTAACACTTGTTTCACATGGTGAAAACGTTGCATTGGGAGAAAGAGCTTAGCTTCACCAGCACATGCTGCAAAGCCAACCTACAGGTTATACCAGCTAACTGGATGCTTGCTGAAACAGTTTATATTTTGTGATAGAGGAACAATCTGTTGAGCAGCCTGCCGTGGAGATGCTTTGCATTGCAAAGGGAGTTTGCACACCGTCCCCAGTAGTTGCCAGTGACACAGAAATTCTCAACACGATGCAGAGGGCAGTCTATGAGATGAACGAACATTCAGTTGGCAACATGCAACACTCAGATGTTTCAGGCAGCATCCATGTGGCTGAAACAGGAAGTAGACCTATGGGTCGTAGCTAATGCTATCTTTCTGCTTAAGCGACAGATTTCTGCTTGCATCATGGAACTTCCTCCTTATCTGTAGCCTGACTCCCACCCTAACAATCTCCTCCGAAGGGTTGTGGAACCCTGGAGCAGATTTTGCTGCGTGAGCAGAACTCTCGTGTTTTAATTTTGGGAGCACTGGCCACTCCACTTGCTCCCACAATTTCTCCTCAGAATTCTCCTTGGTGAATGTTGAAGTAATGCATGTACAGTGCAATTCTAAGGCGGGGATGAAACAAATGGATATATCCTATACCCTCCCAAGCTGGAAGGTAAGAGGAATGCTATTCATTTCCTGGTCAATTTTTTTTAAAAAAAACAACTTCCAGATTTTCCAAAGGGGAAAGGAAAGGAGAGATGTAGTCAAGCTCAGAAGCTTGTCTAGATTTCTTCCTTGTTTGGGGGCTTGTCGGGGGACTGGGGTGGCTTTGAGTCCATTGGGCCCAGTCTGCTTCCTAGTACTCCACTGCAGCACTCCCCCTTTTTATCATCTCAAAGTCAGAACTGCAAGATCAGCTGGGCTAGAATGGCTGAGGAGCTGATGGCAGCAAAAAGAAGGGGTGGTTTCCACCCCCCTTCAAGGCTATGCAGACACATAATTTAGTTACCTATATTTGTTTGGAATGTTTAATCTTTATTTTTAATTATGGTGGTTTTATGTATATATAGTGAATTTTATCTGCGTTTGATTAACAATTTAATTTGTACAGCAATTGGACAGCTCCTCTAAACAAATAAATAATTTCCAATGTCAGATCTCAGTCTCTGACATCAGAGGAATAGATCCAGTCTACCATCTCTTAAGGACTACAGGTTTGTACCCTACCTGGATATTCTTTTAATATTTGCCAAACATTGATTATTTGATATTCATATTCAACATCTACTGCTATTTGATCTCTGCATTTGATATCTGACAGTACTGAACAGTGGACATGCAATAGTTTGTATCTGGCAGAATTTGATAGCTGGCATATACATGGCATTTCGTAGTTTGTAGTAAGTGATAGCTGACATGCAGTGGCATTTAGTATTTGACAGTATCTGTTAGATGACATAAAGTGGTGATTAGTATCAGATATGATTTGATAGATAACATGCAGTGATGTTTAGTAACTGATGAGTGGCAACTTATGGCATTCCACATTTGATATGGGCAAAAATATACTTGGACCAGAGATGCTATATCTAGAGTACTCAAACTTTAAATTTTGCAGTAACATTTCATATTCAGAATATGAGAATATGAGTTCAGATTTTATGAATATTTATTTTAGTTCTTCATGCCACCATGTCTTAGCATTAGACACAATGTACTAGTACTAAAAATTGTTCCAGATTTGCATAATGCAGAATGGGATATGGGAAAATGCACTAAATCTTTATTTCAGTTCTTTTTAGGATTAATGAACAAATCTGCAAAGATTCAAAGCAGAGGATCTGAATGAAATCCATTATCATCATCATCTTGAATAAACTTTACTTGACTAACTGCAGAGTTTTAAGTGATCACTTATAACTTACATATAACTAAGACAGTGGTTCCATGGAGAGGAGCATATGCTTTTAGACCGTGACATTAGGCACCATCTTAAAAGATGCAATTCGCTCCTATATGAGAAAAAAAACCAAATAATTTCACTTCTAAGGTGGCACCTGTACCCATGGTAAATGCTTGAATCAAAAAAACCAATTAATCAACTAACTAATTAATTACAGGTTGAAACCTCAATTATAGAAAAAAGATCAGCCACTATGACAAAGTGTGACTGAGAATGTACAGTACCAGTTTGGGTAATCTATATTTTTTCTCGATCCCAAGGAAATATCTTCTTTCATTACTAGTATTTTCAAGCATTTCTTCTGCCTAAAGCACACATTTATTTTCTGCCCCACAATTGCATTGATATACATGCATGCTTTGTAAATGGATTTTGCTTTTTAGAATTCCGAGTCCTAGCCTCAACATTCTTTTTATAAATAGCATGAAGTCAACTGTATTAACTGTGGAAATGCCACAAGACTTCTCCCAACTCATATAGCCCATCATCAGTAACTCTGGATTCATCATCCCTCCTGTTCTTTGCCTCTACAAGTATGTGTCAGGTTTATGAAGACCTTCTCAGCTCCTGAATGCAGAGTGAGTCTCGTGGTGGAACTACAGCAAGACCACAGCTCCCACTCTCTATATGAGGCATTTGGGTATGAAAAGGTTGTTGCATTGGCCCAAACAGGAACCAGATGGGGTGAATATATACTTAGCTGTTTTAATGCCTAGGCTTAACCATGTTTATTACAAATCTCACACTTTTTTATCTTTAAAGCTGTTTCAAAACACGCGGAGAAGGGTGCATGCTGCACGTAAAGGTGGGTGGGAGGAGAAATTCTGACCCCCTAATAGCACATTTGCAAGTTAAAGATTGCTGATCCCAATTTGCCAGTTCAACGGTATATTGCTATGTCTGGTCCACAGAAATATTTAACCAATATCAAAGTGCATTCTGTTACTCATAGACTTTGATTGTAGTAAAAAAAAAAAAAACATACAACACATTGCAACCTCATTTACCTGATCCTGTGAAATCTTTTCTGCCCTGGATTTGCTTATCTATGGCTATTGCTATATTTGATTCCCATTCCCTGCTTCTCCAGTTCAAACACATGTACATACATGCATGTACACACACGCGCACACACACACACACACACACACACAACCCCTATTCAGAATACATTTTCTATCCTTTAAGCAACTTTTATGAGTGGTTGATATGATGGTTTGAAAAAGATTGATTTAGGGGGGGAATGATTATAAAATTTTACTTCACAATCCTTTTTTGTTCAGATAACAGATATTCATAATTAAAAGACTATGGAATTCATGTAAAGTCAGCTGCTTAGCCAATCAGCATCGCGCAAAAAAATAATACAAGAAAATAAATATGCAGGATTCACCCTTCCAATGATTGTCATTGAACATTAGTAAACATTCACAGTATGAAGTCTCTGTCAGAATATCTCCAGCATATAAAGTAGTGCAAAAAAAGCAATCCAGTCACTTTTCCACTGCATCCAGACCATGTTAAATCATTTTCTAACTTCAATTCTTCCATGTATTACTCAACAAATGCCACAAGGTCTCCAAAAAAGCATTATAAAAATAAACATTTTCTGGGGGTTTGGTAGTATCTTCAACAATTACATATCCAGGTTGGTTGGTTTGTTGTTGTTGTTTTTAAAAAACAATGATTCTTTAAATATTTTAGGATCAAATTTGAAGTTTCGATACAATAATTTTTTCCCCACAACCATCTTTAGCATTTTAAAATCAAAGATTATGGAATCCACTGAATCATGGTAGCTGTTCTTAAAGCGTTAACAAATGAATGCATGGCTACTGAACCTCATTGTTTCTTACATAGTAAATACCTTGGAATGCTAACTTTTACCACTGGGCAGTGAGTGAGGTGGATAAACACATCCTCCTTAAAAGTAAAATTGTTTCCCTCATGTGCAAAACACCTGCATTCTAGTAAAAATATAAACTTTGAAACTATTTCAGGTAAAACCCCCTCCACAAGGTATATCATTGACTTGATATGCAATACAAGTTTACTAATGCTTTGTAATTCATGTTTAACAAGTAAATGGCATATTTCTATATGCTTGTTTAAACTCCTGTTTGCATATTTCATTTTTTTAAAAACCAATGTGCACTTTAATGCATAAATAGGTTTGGAAACAGTCAAAGTTAAACATCCGTTTCCACAGATTTTGCATTAACACAGTTCTGTTTTGCTGTCTCACTGCCGTTTCCTGTGACCTGACACTTTTTCTCCTTCACACAAAGAGACTCTTTAACCCCTTCCTCCATCTCCAAATACTCTGATTTCTCCTCCATGGACGAAGATGACGAACTTCTGATTTTCTTGAGTATCGTCGGAAGGTACGGACAGCTGACTGCGTTTTGTGTCAGCTGGGTATTTTCCTCATTTTCGGTCTCTCTGTGATAAAAATAGTTAAAGTTGGAGACAATCACTGGCACTGGTAAAGCAATGGTTAACACACCTGCAATGGCACATAGGGACCCGACTATTTTCCCACCAACAGTGACGGGCTTCATGTCCCCATAACCAACTGTAGTCATGGTCACAACAGCCCACCAAAAGGCATCTGGGATGCTGTGAAAATGAGTGAGAGATTCATCAGCTTCTGCAAAATAAACAGCACTGGAAAACAAAATGACGCCAATAAAAAGGAAGAAGATCAGGAGGCCCAGTTCCCTCATGCTGGCCCTGAGAGTGTGGCCCAGGATCTGCAAACCCTTGGAGTGTCTGGAGAGCTTGAAGATGCGAAACACCCGGACGAGGCGGATGATCCTCAGGATGGCGAAAGACATGGCCTGCTGGCCGTTGCTGCCCTGCTGCTGCGCCAAGTCTGTACCCAGGGTGATGAAGTAAGGCAAAATGGAAACAATGTCTATGATGTTCATGATGTTCTTGAAGAAGACTGCTTTGCTGGGGCAAGCAAAGAAGCGCACTGTAAACTCAAACGAGAACCAAATGATGCAAACGGTCTCAACAATGAAGAAGGGGTCATTGAAAATCGTGTGTCCCCCGCCCGGCATCTGCAACGTCTCATTCACATTCTCCACGTTGTAGGTCAAAATCAGCTCCTTCTCATCTCTGAACTCTGGCAGTGTCTCCAGGCAGAAAATGACAATGGAGATCAAAATGACCAAAACCGAGACGATGGCAATAATTCGGGCAGGGCTGGAGCTCTCAGGGTACTCGAAGAGCAGCCACACCTGCTTCTTGAATTCGTTTTCAGGCAGTACCTTGTCATCTTCTTCCTTGACGAAGCCTTCATCCTCTCTGAACTTCAGCATGGCCTCCTCCCCGAGTTCGTAGAATTTCACCTCCTCGCTGAAAATGTCAAAGGGGACATTGACTGGCCTTTTCAGACGCCCTCCGGACTGATAGTAATATAAAATTGCATCAAAGCTGGGGCGGTTCCTGTCAAAGAAATACTCATTCCGGAGAGGGTCAAAGTACCTACCCCGCTTTGCCGGGTCACCAAGCAGTGTTTCGGGAAACTGAGCCAAGGTCTTCAGCTGAGTCTCAAATCGCAGGCCAGAAACATTGATGACAACTCGTTCACAGCATTCGTACTCGCTGTAGCGGACAGAAGTGTAGCCACCGGGCCCAGCGCCGTCATCAGGAAGCTGATCAGAAAACGAATACTCATCTTCACCTTCTCCATCACTGCAGTAGATCTTCCTTTCCTCGTCTTCTTCATCCTCCCCGTCATCTTCCTCCTCTTCTTCCTCTTCGTCCTCCTCACTCAAGTCCTTCAGGATCTTCTCCTCTGAGCCACTCAGGGGCAGCAACTCTGAGCAAGGGAAAGAGGCACCAAACTCCCTGCTGCCAAGACAGTAGGCTTTTTCCCTCCTTTGCTTCCTACTCCTGCTCTGACGATAACTGCTACGTGATGTGTTCCCACCACAGGAGGAAGAGGAGGCCCCACGACTCTGTTCCTGGTGATAGTGGTGCTGAGGTCCTCCTCCTCCAGAGACCCCCGTTTCTACGGCAGCCGTTGCAGCCGCTACAGCTGCTGCCGCCGCCGCCCTGGACTGTGCCAGTCGCTCTCTTTCTCTGGCTCTTGCTTGGGCTGCATATCCATAGGGCATGTGGCTGTTGCACCCAGAGCTGTCTGCACTTACCATTGCAACCTCCATGTTGGATTTCTTTGTTTAGGACACTCAAGAGGGGAAGAAAATGTCCCGTTTCTCAATAGTCATCACTAGGTGTTTTGAGTGAGAAGAGCGTGACCACCGAGGTTTGGAAAACAGTATCTCGGAAGCATTGTCTCTCCTTGTTAGCATAACCTGGGTTTTCACTCTGCATTACTTCTCAAGGAGAAGTGTTCCACATCTTACTGCCCAGAAGGTGCGATACAAATTATGGAGGTGTGTTTGTAAAAGTCCTCTGGTGTCATCAAGAGATAATCCTGGACCATGTCCTTTTACACTTGAGATCCCACTGCTATTCTTCAGTGGGTCACACAAAATCCACAGGTCCAAGTTCATGATTTTCTGTGGACACTTTGAATCAAGCGAGGAGTGCACCTAAGCAAAGTAAGAAGTCTTCGAGAACAAACACTGGTCTTGAGTTCCTCGGGACAATCAAGTGCAAAATAGCCAACATCCCCAGAATTGCCTCCACATGATGCTTTGGCCTAGCAATGAAATTGCTGGTGAACACAGCTGTTTAGAAAGTTGAAGGAACTTCCAGTCTTCACTTTGTTTACACAGTGCGGAGGTCTGAACACACTCTTGCTTTCGCCAATCTGTCAGCAACGTCTTAAGCTTGAGAAAGCATCGCCCAAGTCAGCAGCAGGAGGGACTGCGGCCAGAGAAGGACAACAACAAGAAGGCTGAAAAGCTGCCTCTGAGTTCCCCATCGGAGAGGAAGGAGCGGATCACCCTTTGGTTACTCTCATGCAGTAGAAATGTCTATCCTGAAACACATACATGCACACAGACCAAAAAAAAAAAGGTGGGGAGGACAAAAGAAAAGGATGGGTCATATTCTATAGATGCAAGTGACGGTATTTCATATTAAAGGGTTCAGATTTGCCTACTTTCACTCCTCATCGTTCTCTACCATTGTACATCCACCCACACTGCATGCACAGTTTTTCTGTGTCTGTGTACATCTGTCTATATATAGATATAGTTGAGGAATATGAAGGCATATACACACCCACATCTCACACAGTGTTCTTTTATCTCCAGAGAGAGGATTTCAAATGCAAATCTCTATTGCAACAGAGATGTAGCTCTGTATTGCATATATATGTAGAAATATACCTGTGCATAGCATAGGTATGAATGCAGACTAGGTATTCCTGCACACAACACAGCAAGGTGCATAGCTATGTATGGTTTGTGTCTCCATACACTATTTCACACAGAACATCTGACTGCAAATCTATATTGCAATGTGCATTTAGACTGACATTTTTTATCTCTGGATAACAAAGGTATTCACTCTCTCTCATACACACACATCTATTGTCCATGCAATAGAGAAATTGTGGGTTGCATAAATCTAGGTAGGAAATATTTCCAGGTACCCACCATGGCTACAAATGCATGGATGCAGACGTATTATGAATAACTGGATCATGAGAGCACCACACATAAATTCCACCCAGCCTCTGTAACAATACCTATATAGCAGAATACATAATTAATCCAAGTCCGCCAGCTTGCATGCTACATCTTTGGAACTCATTAGGTATAAAGAACATCCCAGCTCTCGCTAAAAATCAAATTTCGTTCTTGGAAGTGGATGCTGGCAATTGTCACCCAAAAGGCGAGCGTTGGGAAATATTATAAGAGGGTGGCTGTACTGCATGAGGAATAGTCAAACAGCAGGGGCAATGAAGCTCTAACACGCGTACGCGCGCGCGCACACACTTAGCATTTAAAAACATGCTCCCGAGACAATCTTCTTAAAGATAGCGCATATAACCCCTAAGCATCATGCGGGGAGGGGGCCGTGGGGAGGCATTGCTGTCTACTTACCGCGACGGGCTGAGAAAAGGCAGCACTCAGGATCTGCAAAACGAGAGAGAGAGAGCAAGAGATCTTGGTCGGCGGGGGCGGGGAGGCTTTTCTGGGCAACCTGTTTTCGCAGGTGCCGCGCTCCGAAGGAGGAAGGTGCGCGGCGCGGGAGGGGTGGGGGTCGCATAAAGCGGAGGGGCGACGGCGAATCGCCTTCTCCTCTCTTCTGGGCGAGCCGAGGCAACAACAACAACAAAAAGACTCCTGGAGGCTTTGGGCGATGCAAAATTCCGGGCGCAAAAAAAAATTAAAATAAACCCGGCTGCCACTCCTTTCAGCTTTGATCTTGACCAAATCGAGGAGGATGTGCAGAAACCCCAGAAGTTGACAAAAAGGAGGGGGGCGCTTTGGGGACGAAGAATGGGGCGGGGGTGGGGGGTGAGCGCCGGGGCTTGTCTGCAATGGTCTCGGATTATGGATGTTGCGTGTACAGCTCGCTGTTCTTTTCCAAGCGCAGCCTCTCCCCGCTTTTCTCTCTTTTGGAGCTGAGCAATTGTTGTAAATCACCCGTTCCCAACAATCCCTCCTCGCGCCCAGACAGGCTGTTGCTCTCGCAAGGATTGACAAAGGAGATGCGCTGCTGCTGGTGCTGCCTGGGGGCGCTTCCCCTCCCTCCTCCCGGCTTGCGCGCTCCAAGCTGCAGCCCCTTCGCCTTTCCCCACCACCACCTCCCAATTTCGGCGTGCAAAGTCAGTCGCTCGGCTGGCGGCGTCCACTTGTTGTTGTTCTTCCTGGGCACCGTTTCCTCCCCTCTCCCTAACCCCGACAGAAAACGATCTATATGCTAATCGATAGAGGGTGGTGTTTTTTTATCCCCTCCCGGAATTCTCCGACCCCATCCAAGCGCCCGCTGCGCATCAGTTAGTTCAACATTCTTCTGGGAACAAGTCTGCTGCGGCGCGCGCGCTGCGCTCTCTTGCCCGGTCCCCCGTTGCAGAAGTCGCCTGCCCAATTCTCAATTGTGTTTACGTATCTATCCACTGACGGACAAACGGCGGGGCTAGGTCTGATTTGTTCCCCAGGTTTTCCAGCTCGCGATCGGCCCCTAGCGGTCGATACTCCCATTAACACCTTCTCCCCCATTTGTTTCCTTCTCCGGCCCCCATTCCCACCCCCACCCCCATCTCTCCTTTCTTTTTCGCGTCCCCTTTCGGTGTTAAATCTTTGGAAAGAAATATCCTCAAATTCAATGATCTTAACTAATAATCAAACTTTCCACTCAAGGGAGGAGCCCAAGGGGGTCAGGTTTTCTTTAAAGTGATGGTGATGATAAACTCTGCGCAGCTGATGTGGCTGCATTATCCGGGTTTCAGGAAAGGGCAAGGAAACAAACAAAAAGTTTCAAAGGGGAAAAGGTCGAAGTGAAACTGGATTAGTGGGTGAGACCACGTTGCGTGGGTGGAAGCAAAGGGAGTTCTCCAGATCTGGGGGCAGGAGGAAGGCACCAAGGAGAAGACGAGACACGGGAAGTTCTGTTATGCAAGCAGAAGGCTGTTGTGGTTGCGGCTGGCCGCAACTGGGTGTCACCCACTCTGCACAGTTGGACAAGGAAAAGTCACTGGACTTTAGGGCATGGCCCCATTCAGCAGAATGAGCAGGATGCCCCCCACCCCAAGCAGTAGGGTTGGCTATTGGCTTACTGCATTTTGTCATAAGTGAAGAAGAAGAAGAAGAGTTTGGATTTGATATCCCGCTTTATCACTACCTGAAGGAGTCTCAAAGCGGCTAACATTCTCCTTTCCCTTCCTCCCCCACAACACTCTGTGAGGTGAGTGGGGCTGAGAGACTTCAAAGAAGTGTGACTGGCCCAAGGTCACCCAGCAGCTGCATGTGGAGGAGCGGAGACGCAAACCCGGTTCCCCAGATTACGAGACTACCGCTCTTAACCACTACACCACACAGCACGATATAACAGAGTGGCCTCACCATCCAGGCAGGCTGATGTGTGGTGCAGGGATTCCTTAAGCCATGCAGGACTTGAAAAGTCAGAATAAGCAGCTTGAACCAGCCTCAGAGATGAACCAGTGAAGCGTTTGTTCCAAGTCCTGATCCTTAAGTCGGGGGAGCAGGATGACTGCCACTCCCCCATGGGTACACGCCACAATGCTCCTGGGAACATAAGTGAATAGAGACCATACAGGAGGGACAAGATCACATGGGGAGAAGCATCTAATACTGCTGCCCCTTCGGCCACCTAGAGGCTGGTGCTGGGATGGTTCTTCCCTTCTGATCCTTCCCCTCCCATATGACCTCTATCTTCTTGCTTTACTGGGAGCAGGAATAAGATACTATGGCCAGAATACACAGCTATGCACATGGATGCCCCATTAAAACCAATGGGAATCATGACAGATATAGAGCAATATGAATGCTTTATATTACTATGGATATATGTGTGTGCATTGTGTGTGTGTGTGTGTGTGTGTGTGTGTGTGTGTGTGCACGTACACCATTGGCTATATGTTGTGTATACTGCATACTGCACAAAGGAGTGTGTATACTCAGTCGCTCTAGGTGCTGTACAAAAGCCCCCCCTGGCCCATTTATCAGCATCATCCTTTCCTTGATGCTTCCCAGGAAACAGGTGTTGGAGATGAATTTCTATAAGCAGGCCCATAATTAGAAAGTCATTCCATTAAATCTTGGCCTCCCACCAACAAGGTCCAATGCCAAAAGACAGAATACCTGACCATGCCTAATGTGCCTTAAAAATAATCGAGATTGTGACAAGTCCTGACTGATGGCAGCTGTAAAAACCAAGAATGGCATACAAATATTGCCGGGACTCTCCATTTTTGGCTTTTGCTATCCACAAATTACATTACAAATGGCAGGGGGGAAACAGCGGTTTTTACTTCTCGGAAACCCTTGTGCTCCTGATGCATCCAAGTGGATGAGTGCCGAAATATCCCAGACAGGGTTAGTCATGCTGGGCCTGATCCAGCCATACTTCACTTTTAACTCCCATTGATTTCAGTAGAAGAAGGCATTTGATTGAAAGTGCTTAAGCCTGGGCTTGAAATGTCTGCAGTGAAACTCAGTCGCACTTTAATGTACTTAAATTTGGCTTTGAGTGTGCCCTAAATTTGTCACCATCATCTGCCTTA